CAAGCGCAGGAGGACCCTGCCAGGCAGCTGGGACACAAAATGCCAGCCTGGGGGGCTCCTTCCTGCAGGGGATCCAGCCCCTTCACCCCCAGGAATTTCTGGCAGGGCTCTGCTCACCACCACCACCACGCCCCTCTACCTCCCGCAGACTTCGTTACCTTTGATGCTTGTTAATGAACTACAAGATTTAAGACATCCATGTGCATGAGTGTGGTGGGAGGCTTTCCTATGCCACCCCCCTGCCCCTCTCCCTAGCACGGCCCCCCCACGACGCAGCCCCCCATCCCGGCGCTGCCCGGCGAGACACGTTCAGCTGCAGGCCCTTCACAAGAGGGTTTTTCATCCGGCTGCGAACGCGGAGTTTCCTGGCAGCAGCCCCAACAGAGCATCTTTGTCTGCCCGCGGCTGCCAGGAGCTCGGGCCGGGAAAAAGAAGTTTATTGAGCGGTGCAAAAAAAAAAAAACAAACCCAAAAAACAGGCAATTTCTTCACGGGCTGAACAGAGGCTGCACAGTGCAGCACACAGCAACGTTCCGCTCCCCATCCGCCAGCTCCGGCTTATAAACGAGCACCTTATCCCCAAATATATCCCACCGAGTCGCCCTTTGTGGAGGGCAGGGTCTGAGCTACCTTCACCCCGTGCTGATCGCAGCGCTGACCTTAGCCCCTGCTTCCCGGGGCTCATCACCGGGGCGTTAAGCTCGGAAGGAGGAAAACAAAAAGCCTGGGCACAACTTGGGAGGGATGGACGGGGATGTTTCCAGGGTCACCGGCGTCCACCGCAGTCACCCACGGGGGTCCGGGTGGGCAACACCTCCAGCCTTGGGCATTGGCCTTCCCTGCCCGTGGAGAGGGATGCCCGCTCGTGCGAGCATGGCAAGCGAGTGCTCTTGCTCAGAGGAGCCAATCGAGCACGGAGCAGCACATCAGGGAGCGTAACAATAATTACATAATTAATAATGACAATACAACATTCACGTCAAGTATACGGAGCCGATGTAAATGGGATCATGCCCTGGTGGGGCAGCACGGGCAAACTGAGCTGCAGAACCACCACCCCAGCAGGAGGGACGGAGGGAAGCTTGAAGGAGCCCATTTATTCTAAAAATACCCGACTTCTTTGTTTTAAATAATATTTGGTTTCACTTACTGCTCCCGCACTTCCCCTTTCCTCCAGCATTACAAAAAGGCTTGAAGGGAGCAACTCTGTGGAGTTCAAGTCCAACGTCAGAGTTACTTTCTGCTTAGGCGGTTCTGGGGGGGGTTGCTCCACCACCCTTCGCCCTCACCTCCTCCCTCAGATGCTGCGGAGCTCCTCCTCTTTGCAAATCAGAGATAAGGAGCTACTTGGCAGTTTCACGCCTCCAGCATTTCCGTTTTGCATAAGAGGGTTAAGTTACAGAAAAGCACGTTACAGCGAGCGGCAAAACCTTCCGAACGACCCACTTTGCTGGCGTTGTGCCACTGAACAGACTGGTTCTGGGGGCAGGAACCCTACCTTTTGCGCATCTCCGGTGAAGTAGGCAATGGTCAAGGTGGGAAGGATCATAAACAGTGCGTTGTAGTACAGCAAGCCGTATTTTCCCAGCTCCTAGAAATCAGGAATATCTGCGTATTAAAGCTGGTTCCAAACAAGAATGTAAAACCTTATCCCTATTGCTACTGAAAAATGGTCTTATCAGCTAAATCATAGAATCACAGAATGGTTTGGGTTGGAAGGGCCCTTAAAGCCCCCCCAGCCCCCCCCCCTGCCATGGGCAGGGACACCTTCCACTGGACCAGGTTGTTCCAAAAAACCTTGAACACTTCCAGGGATGGGGCATCCACAGCTTCTCTGGGCAACCTGTCCCAGTGCCTCACCACCCTCTCTGCGAAGAACTTCTTCCTGGTATCTAATCTAAATCTCCCCACTTTCAATTTAACCCCGTTCCCCCTTGTCCTGTCACTACAGGCCCTTGTAAAAAGTCCCCCCCAGCTTCCTTGTAGCCCCTTCAGGTACTGGAAGGCTGCAATAAGGTCCCCATCCACGTGGGATTCTCAGAGGCAGAAGAGTTGGAGGGTTGTTTAAATAAATATATTTAATATAACTATACATACACAAATAAAATATGTATTATATTAAAAATATACACAGATATTAAAAATCCACGTGGGATTCTCAGAGGCAGAAGAGTTGGAGGGTTGTTTAAATAAATATATTTAATATAACTATACATACACAAATAAAATATGTATTATATTAAAAATATACACAGATATTAAAA